TAAATGAATATGCTAAATAAAAAAAAAAAAAAAAAAAAAAGCTATCTATATGCATGTCATATGTGTGCACTTGACTAAGAAAAGGAAGTACAATGGCTAGTTTAACTAAAGGATGCCTATATTTGAAGACCTCTTGTCAAGAATGGTTTAGCTATATTAAAGCATTCTTTGTTGGTCAGGTAATTTCTATTTCTTACAATTAACTTTTTTCTTTTTAATTTCTTGAAAGATTTAAAAAAATCGAACCTACCGAATGCATGGATACTTAATTTTGACAGTGTTACCTCAATTTATTTATGTTGTATTTCTATATAACATATAGAAGTTTTGAAGGTGTTTGTATGATCATTTATTAAGTTTAATTTGAAGTGTTTAACTGATACAGTGGAAGACGTATTGAGAAGGTGTTACACTTTTAAAATTGAAGTGTGTTTACCTATTGTTTTGGTAGGGGAAGAAGATGAGAGCAAAAAGTGAGGAGGAATTGACAGAAGCTGATATGGTGAAAGCTAAAATGGAGGTTGAGGCTACTGATGAAGCAGAGAAAACCAAAAAACAACTTAATAAATCAAGTTGATTTTTCTAATATGTTTCTTTTACGTTGTCTAATAATATATATTCTATTAGGTACTCCATATTCCTTTCCTCATTACGTCGATGGGTTTTTTTAATTCTTGATTTGGTATATTAAAAATATATAATATGATATGCATGATACAATTACCCCTCTAATGGATATTATTGTTAGAGGCCATGTGTTTTAATATTAAAATTAAAATATTAAATTTATATTTTAATGGATATAAATTGACTAGTCATTATGTTTTTACATAACTCATCTAACCATTCTTGTTATGATCAATCACTAACTGTCCATCAATTCCATGTTTTAAAATATGATATATTTTGACATTTATTTGGGAAATTTGTTTTATATCATATTTTGATATTTATTTATGAAAGAAATTCTACTGTGATGCATTTTCCCTTGTGCAGGATTTGTAGAAAACAAAAATGAGAAGAGTTAGGAAAATATTGTACTGAAGTTGAGACAGAATCAGATGAAAAGAGTAACTTCAAATATATGAGAAGTAATATATAAGAAGTAGAATGTAGAGATCATTTTATTCAAATGTCTTCAAGTCTTTTTTATAACGATGAAAGAATAAATCTATTTATAGATTGAGAACTTTTTTATAACGATGAAAGAATAAATTTATTTATAGATTGAGAAATTACTGCAAACATCATATTAAGTGTCATAATAAATATACACTCTTATTCAAAATTGTTCATAAAATCTAAGAAATAAAATGATTCATAAAATCTAAGGAATATACATACATGGATATAAGTAGTTATAGATCATAAAATTTAAGAAATAAAATGATTCATACTAGGGAATATACATAAATGGATATAAGTAGTTTATGTATTGAGAATATAGATAATTCATTAATTTAATGAATTTGTAATATTTTTAAGTGAATTTGTTATATTTTTAAGTGTCTCTTATCATAATGATGAATGAACAACTCTATTTATAAGTTGAGAATCATTTTAAAGGTCATTATATTAAGTCTTATAATAAATAGATATATTTTTATTCAAAATGGTTCATAGGACCTAGGAAATACACATACTTGAATGTAAGTAGTTCATGTATTGAGAATATGACCAATTTGTTATTTTAATGAATTTACAACATTCCCTCTTGAATGTCCATAAATAATGTGTCTCGTTAAAACTTTACTAGGACAAATTCAATGAAAAAAAGCCTAGTAACAGCAAAAGAGTACACATAGCTTATAATACGTCGTGAGTGTTGCCTCATTCAAAATCTTACCAGAAAAATCTAATGGAGACAAAATCATGGTTAAGAAAAAGAGTACAACACACATTTCACTCCCTTTGATGAAAGCTTTACTTGATATCTATCTCAACTTCTCAAATGTTGATGTTGATGACGTCTTACTGAATAAGTCGGCAAAATTATTACTTGAATAAACCATTTGAATTTATATCTCACCATTTTGTTAAAGATTATGTGTGAAGAAGAACTGTGTTGAAATTTACTATGTTCAGTCTCCTTTGATGCATCCTTCATTCAATTGAGTTATACATGCATCATTACCTTTGTACACGGTGACTATAATTTTCACTTTTAAAGAAAAATCACACAACTGCCTAATCAATAATCGTATGTGCACCAATTGCATTAATATATGATATTTTCAATTATTTTCATGAGATCATAATTGATCTTTCTTTATGTTAAGCAATCTCACTATTATTGGGGTACACAATGAAATTGCTTTAAAACCTTTTAAATCCTTCAAGAATTTTCATATAACTTTCATCGTCTAGCTAGACACGACAATCATTCATTACACTTATTCAAGCATTTTGTCTATTGCCAGACTGAGACAAGCTTCATTGCATTTACCATATGAGAGCATATCTTCATTTAATAATGTCAAGACTTTGCAAAAATTCTTTATACGGCATGATACACACTCTACTTCATAAGAGTTATACTTTTGCACAATGATTCATTTCTACCCCACTGACATTATAACTTGATCTATCGACTGTAGTTTCAAAACATCACTTTTTAAGTGAAACATAGTATACTTGAATTGTTCATTTAGTTGACCAATTATTTAACTATCCATATTTTATGACATATTTGAATTCAACATCCTCGTCATCTATAGCGTTGAGCGCTACTTTATATCAATGATATCATCGACAATCATTTGACTCAATTTCAATACGTCATAACTTATTAAAATCTCTTCATTTTTTATCATTTTATGTACCTGAACTTTTGCCAAGATTTTATGAAGTATTATGTTATTGTGCTCCTTTTAAAGCACTTGCCTCATTAACATGATTATATTGATTATTTTCTGCTCTTTTTCCTCAAGAAAATTTTCATTTGAAGCCGATTGGTCTATCACGCTTCAGGCATACTATAGACTCTGTCTTTCAATGACTTCTCATTAAAGAATTTGTAGCTGAATTATAACATAGGATCAACAAATTCATTTGGTAACTAATTACAATATTATGTAATGAATTATTTTCTAAACTTCAAGTTCACTTCTTTTTTAAATGAGGATCTAGATAATCCATCTTATAATTTTCACATGTCAATCATCTCTTGCTTTAATGTTAGAAAATCTGACATTCATTTCAACCTTATTTGGGATCCATCTTTGTGTGTGGTGGAACAAGTAAATCAGATAGCGCATATTCAAACTTTAGATGAAAATTATTTGGTTTGAGACCCTGAACCAATTATATATGATGGGGAGACCTTATTGGCTTGATGCGTACATGTGTTTCTACAAACTCTTCTCATATCAAATGTTGTTTGAGAGTTTTGTTCTCATAGCCATAATTTAGCTATAATTAGAAGCATACAATTTCTGCTAAACCAATCAACATTATCAACATAATTTCATAGTTAGGAACTATGCTCTTAGTTTAATAATTCGAGCAAACGATCTTACAAAAATCAATTTGTAAGTTGACAATAAAGAACATGTGACCATCCCATAGATGCACTATCATATCATTGCAAACGATACACATGAAATGTGAACGGTGTATTCACCTTTTTATATGTTTCAAAACCTCAGGAAATACAATCCCAACCTTAGCTGGTAGTACAATGACACAACACTCATTTTATCATGAGAAAAAGAAACATAAGAGAATTTTTGAGGAATATTTTATTTCTTCAACATATGAGTCACGTGAATTCTCAATTACTTTTGTATTACATTGAAATCGAAATGACCAATTGATCATGCCAATTTATATTTATTTTTCTCAAACCTCCTGTAGAGGTAAGTTGTGGCATATATCCAATCCATAATGATTTTATCACATCTTGACTCCTTCACTTTTAGAATGACAGAGTATTCATGATGCTAATCACAAGTCACATTCTCTTTAATGAATGAATTGATCATTTGTATATGCTTCATAGATTTGCATTATAAGCACATTGTCATGTCTTTGAAATTCATCATATTTCCATGACACACCTCAACATCACTTTGCAATAGGTAAAGTGTACCACAACTTTATCTTCCTTTCTTTTGATGGAGGATTTTTATAAAGTAAATTAGGTCGCACGGCAATCGCGTGTCCAATGAACTTTCATAGCATTTTGATGACAAAAATTACCTTCACATTTTGAAGGACTATTTGGAGAACCCATAGTGTTCTTCCTTTCATAATTACCATAATGATGACTATTATAATATTTTTCATTCACGCCGTTACTCATACATTCAATCACTTCTCATCTTTCAGACTTATTATTCACTGCTACCATATTCATATGATAGAATGGAGAAATCGTGCTTATTTCAAACGTATCATGTACTGCTACCACATTCACTTCAAGAACTAGAGTAAATTCAATTAGACGAATATCATGACTTTTCATAAAATCCTTCATCATTATTATATAATTACTATGGTGCATTGAGACTCGAACTCAATGTCTTACCCATATAAGGCGTGTTAGGCCATAATTCAATGGAACCTAAACTGAATATCTTATCATCATGGTGCACCAAAACTCAAATTGATGTCTTGCCCTCTTGATGCGATAGAACTAGAATCTATCGTCATACCATCAAATATTTTCATTATGGTTCATCCGGACTTTAACCTAATATCTTATCCTTTTGATGCGATGGGACTTGAATCCACCCTCTTACCAACTTAAAATTTTTCCTACTAAACTTGAATAACTTAATACTTTAGTTATCGAGTTTACTTTAAAATTTGAACTATAAAATTTAAACATTGAAATTTTAAATTTGAAAGTTGAACTTTGAAATTTTAAATATAAACTTTCAAATTTTAAAGTTCAAATTTTAAATTTGACATTTGAAATTTATACTTTCAAAAACATGAACATACTTTCTTTTTTCTTACTTAGTTAAAAAAATGTCACTAAATTTCATAACTTAAAAATTTAAACATACAATTATAATTTAAATAATTAAAGTTAATATCATCACATATTTCGTTTCACCCCGTTTCGTCCATTAAAATATGTTGGATGGGATAGGACTACACCATTTTGTCCTAGCCGTCCCGACCAATGTGTTGAGTTAGTTTTTCTTCAGTTTTAGTTTACTTCAACAAAGACCTATTCTTCAGGGTTGGAACAAGTCAATTTCTATTTCCTATTTTTCTGTCAGTAGTGGAGTTAGTTGAGTCATGTCCTGTATTTTCGTTTTTCTTTAACTTTCATGTATTTCCTATAAAAAGGCATTGGAACCTATGAATAAAGGTAGATTATTCTGGTGCATTTGCTAAGTCTCAAATTTACAGTTCACAGGCTCATCATATTTTTTATACATTTTTTTGAATATGTAAGTTTTACTTTTTTAAAAATTAATGATTTACAGCGGAATTTACACCATACATCAATTAGTTTAAACATTATATTTTGAATTGAGAGACATATACTATGTTAAAAAGTGAATTGTATCCCAATTCATCCAGGCATGGGAAAATTACCATGTTTGATAAGTATAATCTGGTGCATTTGATCTCTAGCTATGTCGATATTGAAAGAAAATTTGGGGAATATTAAATATAGGGAAAAGGGTCTAACATACCCCTCAACTTTGTCATTTAGAGCT